GTGTTTTAATGAATTATCAGATTTGTTAATTATTTACTATATTTCAATACAATACTTCTGTACAATTAAAATTATTTACATTCCTGTCTATCCTATTCATACTAGATTTAACTTAAGGTACATAAAAAGTCTTACAAATTGATTTAAACAATGTTTTAGTGTGTTTTCAAATCAATTCAATAATATATACCATGTCGATTTCATGCAGATCATGTGCAAAAACCTAGTCTCTACAAAGTCTAGTGGGTACATTGGTGCAATTGATCTAATTGAACTTCTTAACATGTTGAACCGTGACTCAATTCTGGTGGCTATGAGTATTTTCACTAGTTCATGGAATATAGTTATTACACTAGTTCATGGAATTTCAAAGAGTCCACATCACAAAATGCATCAATCTCAGAGCACCAAATAGCTGCAAGATAGAAAAACAAATATAACAAATATTTTATTATTTCCAATTTAGAATCATACATGCAACATTCCAATGAGTTATTGTGACTGTTTTTTTCTTATTATAGTAGAACACCGAATTTTATTTGTATACTTTCATTTGAATATTTTGTCAACACATACTCTTATGTCAAAATTTTATGATATCTTGTATTTCTCGCTAAGTGTATTTGTATTATTTTGAGAAATAAGTATCTTAAACTATAATAAATATTGACTCAAATATAAAATACTACAAACAGTATGATGATGATATGATTACAGATTTTAATTGGAGTAAATACCTATACGTACAAAATCATCATAACTAGTGTTTCAATCTTATTTTTAATAAAATGTTATGAAAAAAACATTTCAAACTGAATTTATATGCAGTACTACAGCTTACATATCTGAACTGAATACCTGGCTCTCTTTTTCACAAAATAATCAAAAAGAAACAAAATCTCCAAAATGGTGTGCTCAAAACTCTGGTAAATGCCAGACTCCATGGTTCACAAAAATGGATGATATTCATGATTATCTGAAAATCCCTATTGTCCAACAGGAGACAAGTAGCATGACAAAAGCCTATAAGGACAGAATATCACGAAAACACATGAAAACAGGCTTGCACAAGCTCTGAACGAACCTGTAAGTAACAGACATTTGAGGAGCTTGGATGAAGAGCCTGCCTCCATCTTAATGCAAGGCATTATAACACAAATTAAATAGTGAAAATAGAATACAAAATTAAAATAAATGCACCAAGGTATGTTCAATAATGGTAAAGTGGAATTGATTTTTAATGGTTCAGTTACAAAGTGTAAATCAATGGTCAGCCAATTGTACGCATTCGATGTCGATACTTTATGTCTACGACGATCTGTCGCGCCAAGGACGAACGTAATCGTTGAAGAAAACTTACAGACAGAATGATCGCATACACAACTGTGTATTCCAAAATATCTTATTATAAACATATCAGTAGCACACCGTGGTAATTGAACGCATATGTGACAACAGGAAGACCGTATAAGAACTGCAAAACAAGAATATTGTGTAAACATTACTCACTTTGAGCCCCTAACAGGTGTGAATTCTTCAGCGTCGTAAAACTCCTCTGAGTCACTACTGTCACCCATTATAAATAAATTACAACGTGGCAATAAACACTAACTACGATAATTTGCAAAGATAATCACATCATCAAATAGAAAAAAGTTAATTTTTACAAAAAAAGAAAGTTGAAATACACGAAATGGTGTACTGTACCCATCCATCAATTTACATTTGACAGCTTTAAAATGACAGTTTCGTTTTTTAAATTTTCGTTCAAAAATGTGTAGTGAAATCGATATTCGCATCGATTGAGACAGTGGATTGGCAGAACGCAAGAAGCTTAAATGTAGAACCTAATAATAACATCGATAAAAAATAAATGTCTGATTCTCGATCACCATCTCTATTGACATTACCACCTTTTTAGTAGCAGTAGAGCTCCTTGTGATAGAGTTCGTCTAGGATAGTACTGCCACCTTACCTGTTTCTGCCACCAAGCAGTATGTCAGCATTACTGTATTCCGGTTTTGATGGGTAAGGGTGCTAGTGAAATTACAGGCAAATGGAACTTCTCAACTATGCCCCACAAATCTTTGCAATTTAAAGCTCTGAGTGGCACTGCAATTGTTATGGACAGGCGTGTAGCTTACCATCAGGTGCACGACTTATTCGTCCCGTCAATTGATATTATTAAAAAAACCACAAAATCGTACTTTAGAAACAATTTTTCTTGTTTTACAAGCGATGGTCATGCTGACGTTTAGCTAACAAAATTTGAAATTGCTGTTTTTCAAGAAAAGGCCTTAGTTTGAATAATGAAATTATTCTCGTAACGTACTTACCCTCTTTTCGCTATATAATCACATCGGACTCTGTTCTTCGGATGAGTCTTATTATGCGATATGATTTATAAATATGACTATACGGTCTCGTTCTGAGAATGAAAAAGGGCAAAGTGGAGAAAATCACATGAAGAGACTGTGAGAATGATCGAGAAATTCAATAGTACTCTTCTGTCGACTCAAACTCTGTGCCTCGTTCCAATGCACTGTTGTTGAATTACATTGAGGCAACTCAAGTGATGCGTTTACTTAGTAATTAGTTACGCTACGCCCCTAATATTTTCAGAGTATATATAGTAGTACCTTCTCCTATAGGCAGACAGAAAGAAAAATCCTTGTACGTCAGGAACACAACTGTATAAAGTCACGGGATTGCTAAGTTCAAGTTTCATAGCATTATATATAGTAACACCTATTAAAAAAATACAAGTCGCTTATTGAACTTAGTTTCTATTGTGAACGTCACGGTCTGAACTTCAAAGCTAGGACACCTGATACGAGAGCCATTGGCCATGAGGAGTAAGGTCGCCGACTGCCGGGGAAGACGGCCGTGAAGGAATCAAGGTTTACATTTTGAGGCTGTTTAATTGTATGTACGCATTTGTGTATTGTATACTGTACATGTGTGTTTGTGTATCACTGTCGATTTCAAAATTATAGAAGCCATACATTATTTTATATAAGATCTATGAAAAACAGATGTTGTGCCGACCCCACCTAGCGTGGGATAAGGACAGGAAGAAGAAGAATTACTTACGTGATACATACCTACTCAAATACGAGGTTTTTGGTTGCGCCAATGGCGGAATGATTTTCTTTTCATAATAAAGTAAACTTTTTTACTAAATAAAACAATTATTCTTTTTTTGGGCACATTAACGGATGGTCGTATTTTTTTCCTTTTTCAAAATCACCACTACGTCAACCAAAGTGCTTCTGGTGGAAAACTACCTCTTCCACCGGCGCTGATCAGAACCCGCCGGCGAAAGAATGTTACACCTGCAAAACGCCTTTCAAATTTGTTATACCATGATCAACGCATAAAACATAGATTGCTAATACTTAACTAACTAAAACTCGGCTGAATTCTAAGGCATTTCGGATTTCTCCTATCGTATTCTTAACGTAAAAGGCATAGAATTGAATTTAAAACGTTAAATCCCAGAGTGCTTTTGACGGTAGGTATTTCAAATATTTTTAAATAGAAAACCTGTAAGAGTTGTGTTGGCAATGATGACGTTAGTTGATGGACAGAAAGATTCATTACATATATTAATTTAAGAATTAAGTTCATACAATATTTATGCTACTGAAAATTAGTTTTGCGATGTCTGAATACGAAACCTCAACATTCCATTGGCGCTAAGTACCCATAAGAAACGAATATGGAAGTCGTTCCACGCTTGTGACTAGATCTTCATAAGAGACTACAGCTTTGCTACCTTCCACACTATTTAAATCTCGTAGGTAACCAATCAATGGCTTACGAAGCCAGCAAGTACTTACTACTTATTTTGGATATCTATATAAGCAACAGCAAACAGAAATCTACTATTAATTCGCGTCATTGTCACTTAATGATTATAAATGAACTTCGAACCACATAGTTCAGGTACGCTAAGTATCTCTCAAAATCCAGGAACAATCAAATTATGATTTTTTGCTAGTAATCATGAGTTACGCCGGCCGGTGCCGTGGTTGTGCCTTCGCTTGGCATGCGTCATGTCATTACACCGCATTTGCTGGGGGCGCCGACTATATAAAACATGACCTCCCTCCTCTCACTTATTATTCGCTCTCTCGATTCCGTGCTGGCTGCACCATCGTGTTTTGTTTTACCAGTTGTAATTTAAAAAGTAAGTTGTTTATTTTTCTTAAGTAACTAGTGTTGTGACTGTCCAGTTACATAACTTTATTGATATCAGTTTAATATAGTTAAATTGTGAATATTATTTTGTGGCTACGTAATAACGATGTGGTTTGTCTGAGCTAACGGAAAATACGAGTAATTTTCAATAGCAATTTTGTTGTAAACACTCCGTAGAGTTAATGAACAATGTTTTTTATTGTTATATCTTTTTTGCCCCTCCTATTCTCGAAAAGTGCACACTCCAATTTAGACAGTGTTTGTTTTTATCAAGATACAAAACCACCAGTCTTTTGCCACGGAATGCGGAGTAAAGTGAAAGGGAACAAGATCTAGTTCACATGCTGATTGGCATATCTTGACAAATTTAAATTTTCGTACTACACCTTCCTACGATACTTCTCACGCATGTACTTATATTATCCAATAAGGTTTAAGCATACAATTATTTTAAAATTTTGAAATTTTCATAGGAAAAGCCGGTTGATCTGGCTGTTTTTCATCGTAAAAAATAATAATACTCGATAATAAATAGCAGAAAGGACTATTCTAAGATATTATGTCTCGAAAACCTGTTTAAAACAAATTACGATATGTAGACGTTATTTCTTTTAAAGTTAGTTTCGACTTTAAATGATATATAATTCTTCGAAACTTTGAACTTTGACTCTTCAGAGTTTGGATCGTTCTTATTACTAGCACTATAGAGTTGAACTTAAATCTTAAATCCCAAGCTTGATATGCTCTTGACGCTGCACAAATACAACTACAACAAACAACAATCGATACTATAGCATATATTTTCTGTGTACTAGAAATTTTCTCCTAGGCACTGCACTGTAATCTAGACACTAATCTCACGCCAAGGCCAAGTTATTCGGCAATAACCATTATTATTATCTATGGCAATAACACTTGTTTGACAGCAGTTATCATAGTTTTATACTGGTTTATGATATTTTTTATTTAACGTGTTGGTTACACAACGAACAGTTTTATAATATGGACTATGGTTTTTACGATAGGTACCTAACAAGAGGTTAAACATTTTATAAACGTTTGATGATTATTATGTACAGAAAGGTATGAAAAATATAAAAAAAGAATCTAAACTATTAAATTAATATTAAAACTTATGCTACTAATTACATACAGATATACATACAGGGTGTAATAGTTAAGTGTGCCCAGGCAATTGTTCCGTAAATATAAGAGATATCCAAAGCTTTAAACTGATATCTAAAGTACGTTACCTAAAGAACAAATCAAAATCAATAAATTTTAAAAAATAAAACTAGAAATATCCAAAATTTTAACATTAAACACTCCCATACATTTAATATGATATTAGTAGAGAGACTTAGTTATCCGAGTGTAACAATAAGTTAACAGATAACAAAACTGATACAAATATAGTAATAAAACTATCTTTTAATTGAATACAAATATAATAGCATAGTCAATTATTTGGTCAAGTATGGGAGTGTTTAATGTTAAAATTTTGGATATTTCTATAAAAAAGTCATTGATATCGATTTACTAATTAGGTAACGTACTTTTGATATCAGTTTAAAGCTTTTTGATATCTCTTGTATTTACGGAATAATTGCCTGGGCACACTTAACGGTTACACCCTGTATAGTAGTAGAACAACTGCAGTGCTTTCATGAATATTTTATCTTATATGAATATCGATCTATCAATCCAAGTACAATACGTAAAATGCTGGTAGGACGCTATATTTTTAATAGATAATAATATATGCATAAATATATTATATTTTTTTACGTGTACAATATTAATTGATGTTAAATATATATTTAAATATATAAAATAAATATATATTTAACATCAATTAATATGTATATTGATGATAAACCCAATCTAACAATTGTGTAAATTTTCGTTACATTTTCTAACTCAATATAAAACGCATATGAAAAGTACTTTTCATGCTCTTGTCTATGCTGCCGTTATTACTTATCCTAAACAACGTAATCGAAATTTTAGCGGAATTGAGTTGTTATGCATATCTGCTGCCCTTGGAACGAAAAAGTGCAATACTAACATTTTTATCAAAATTCAGTTATCTACGTACAGGGTCAATAGCACATCAAGCTTGCCACTTGGATTGAAATCGAATTCTATACGATAACAACGGTCCAAAGTGTCAATTGACGTGCTCTTAGATATTCGGGATCAGATAATAAACTCAGTACAGAGTACTAAAAAAACCGTCCTCAAAAGTTCGTGGAAATATGTACATCTATTTGGCAAGTTTTAACATTCAATTGGAGCATAGCAAAATCAACCAATAAAATAATTGCTCCTTATAAAAGCGTTATTTATAAAAATAAATCTTCATTCGTGAACAGCCACCCTTAGAGGTGGA